GTTGATGATGGCCTGGATTTTCTCAGGGTTGGCCTCGATACCCCTTCGGCTCACCATGTAGCCCAAGAATTTGCCCCCCTGAACACCGAAGGTACACTTCTTTGGGTTCAGCCGAAGGCTAAACTTCTGCATGATGGCGAAGATCTCCCTCAGGTCATCAGCATGGCTTGCTGATTGCTTGCTCTTGACGATCATGTCGTCAACATATGCCTCCATGGTGCGCCCTAGGACAGCTTGAAATACCCTGGCCACCATCCGGGTGTAGGTGGCGCCTGAGTTCTTTAGGCCGAAGGCCATGACAAGGTAGCAGAAGATGCCCTCGGGAGTCATGAAGGCTGTTTTTTCAACGTCTTCCTCATGCATGTATATTTGATGATATCCGCGGAATGCGTCGAGGAATGACATGATTTCACACCCCACGGTTTCATCCACAAGTTGATCAATATTTGGCAAAGGAAAGGGGTCCATGGGACACGCTTTGTTGAGATCCGTATAGTCCACGCACATGCGGAATGAGGGCGGTTTCTGTGTGAGGACTACGTTTGCCAGCCATGAGGGGTACTTTACCTCCTTGATGTGCTTGATAGAGAGGAGCATGGCGACCTCCTTCTTCACAAATTCCCTCCTCTCGGCCGAGAGGGGTCTCCTCCGCTGCTGTACTGGTTTGGCCGAAGGGTCCATCGAGAGGCGGTGGGTGATGACCCTTCGGCTGATCCCCGGCATGTCCTCCAGCCCCCATGCAAAAACAATGGAGTAGACGTTGAGGGCGCTGATGATGCCGGTCTTCAAATCTTCGGGGAGCTTGGCTCCAATCTTCACGACTCTCTCCGGCTTGGCCGGATCGAGCGCGAAGTCTTCTACCTCCTCGGCTGGTTCAGCCCTCAGCCTCCTTTCCTCTGCTTCCACAGTTCCGGTGATGGTGTCAACGCGGAACTCCGTCTTGCTAACCTTCTTTGTTACTTGAAGGTAGCAAGCGCGGGCAAGCTTTTGGTCCCCCCTTGAATAACCGATTCCCCCCTCGGCTGGGAACTTGAGGCAAAGGTGCCTCATGGAGATGACGGCTTCGAGATCCTCAAGGGCTGGCCGGCCGAGGATGATGTTGTGGGCGCAGTCGATGTTGACGACGACGAACTCCACTTCGAGCTTGGCTCTATGGAGCCCGTCGCCGAAGAGTACCGGGAGGGTTATAACCCCCTCGGAATCAATGGTGTCGCCGGTGAAACCGGCAAGAGGGGTCTTGATGGGCCGAAGGGACCCCCTCTCCAGATGCAGCTCTCTGAAGGTACTGAGGCACATTACATTGACGGAGCTGCCCGTTTCAACGTAAGTTCGGTGAATAATAGTGTCATTTATTTCTGTACGGATGACGAGGGCATCCCTGTGTGGGGAGGACACTGGGGGGAGATCAGCGTTAGTGAAGATAATGGGTTCCTCCCTCAACCGCTTTACTGGGGGCATATGAGTGACTTCCCCCACGTAAAGTGACTGAGCCCACTTCTTTCGTTGACTCGTAGAATCACCCCCGGTATTGCCCCCCGTGATCATGAGGATGTGGCGCTTCTTTTCTTGGTACCGGGGGTACTCCTCCTCCTCTTCTTCCAGGTTCCCAATCTCCCTCTTTTTGCCGAGGGGGATGGTGTTGGGGTTGACCCATGCATTGGTTTTCACCGGCTGCCTTCGGGTTGGCCCTTGGTGGGAGGGGGGGGGGGCTGTTGCCGAGGGCCTTGGATGAACTAGGACAGATGGCCCGCCTGTATCAATCTTTCGATGGCCGTCTTCAGCTGATGGCAGTCATCGGTACTGTGCCCCTGGTGTCGGTGGAAACGACAGTAGGGGTAGTTTGGATTGATAGCAAATACTTCCGGGGGTGCGCGTGAATCTCGCTCCACTAGGCCCTTCTCCTCAGCAAAATCAAGAATGACGCTGACGGGGTGCGTCAAAGGTGTCCGAGGGTGCTCCAGGAGGACAGGTTGTGCCCAAGCCCTCGGGTTCCCCTTGTAGCCTCCCTCGGGCTTGGCTTGGCCATGCCAGGGGCGATCACCGGAGGGGGCAAAATCCTTGGGATGATTGCGGGGAGCCCCCCTGCCCCCGGATACTTTTGTCTTCTGGCCGAGGGCGCTGCTGATCCGGGACGTGGTGGCATTTCTCCACCTCCTCGGCTTCGGCGTACCGGTCCCCCCGCTGTAGGGCCCTTATATAATCGCGGGGAGGCTCGATGATGAGGCTCCTTGAAAAGTTCCCGGGGCGGAGTACTGTTTGGAGGAGGGCCAGGAGGGTCCCGTCGTCAGCGCCATCAACTTTATCAGCCTCCGTTCTCCAGCGCTCCAAGAAGTCCCGAAGGGTCTCCTCCTTTCTCTGCCTCACTGTCAGCAAGTGGGAGAAATGTTTTGTTGTGCGGCGCCTTCCCGCAAATTGCGTCAAGAATCGCTGGGCGAGTTCTTGCCATGAGTCAATGCAGCCCTCGGGCAATCGATTGAACCATTCGTAAGCCGGCCCCTCTAAGGTGGAGAGGAACCAGCGGCACAAATACTCATCCGATGCCCCCACCATCATCATGCTGCTCTGATACCTGCTGTAGTGCTCTCGGGGGTCAGTCTTTCCGTCGTAGGGCTTGATGAGCTGCCCTCGGTATTTTTCTGGGATCCGGGCCGCCAATACCCTTGGGGTGAATGGCGTCCGGGTCCGGAGCTGTATGGTGGGTTCCCCGGAGCCCTCGGCTATCTTCTTCTGCATTTCCTCCATCTTGGCCAACATCGCCTCATACTTGAGGTCTGAATGAGGGGCAGAAGTGGTGGCGTGGGCTTTGGTGGCCTCCATCTCGTCAAGCCGGCGCTGGAGGGCCGCAATGATTTCGTCCCGGGGGTCCTTCGGGAGGGCCTCCGCCCCCTGCGAATGGACGTAGGCCGAGTGGGCCTAGTTGATTTGGTGGCGGGCGTCGTTGGCATGGAGAGGTGCCTTGCCTTTGTCCTGAGGGGGACGCCTTTCATTGGCCCTGGAGACGGATCCGCCACTTTCCTGAGGCCTCTGGAACGCCTTCCCCCCGAGGCGGTCTTGGACCCCTCGGCGGTCTTGCGCCCCTCCAAGTCTCTCGAGGCTGGAGGTCCGGAGTTGTTCTTTGTTTACGTTGTGGCGGTCCCGGGACTGGACTTCCTGGGAGACCGTATCTTGGGCCACGACCCCCTCGGAGTTCCCAATCCGGAGGACCGGGTTCCCGAGGGGGTGTGGATGAGGGGGAGGCATAACATTCTCCCCGACCTGAGGTTGGAGGGGAACCAAAGTGCCGAAGGCACCCGGGTTCTGGGTGAGTGTCTGGATGAAAGCGGAGAGCGCTGATTGTACCTCGATTGTTATGACCGGAGGGCTAATTTGATTCTCGCTCCGGTCCTTCTTCTTGGCCTCGATGCCGAGGCGGGCATCGGGGGCATTCTGTTGAATTTGCTGGCGTAGGTCGACAGCCGTCTGGTCCAACCCGGCGATGACGCCGCCCCCGGGAGCCTTGTTAGAGGCTTCGGGGACGTCGACCTCGCCGAGGGCCAGGTTCCTGTCCTCAACATTCTTGGAGTTGGCACGAGTTGTTCTCACCATTTTAGCTAGGTGTTTTGTGTTTGGTCGAGGGGGAGGGTTTCTTACTTGATTGTTCGACCTCTCAACGAGAGCACCAAATGATGGATAGTGTACCCGGGGGGTAGCTTATCCGAGGGGTTATTACGGGGAATAACTAGAGAGAAGTCAGAGCAAGTAAGTAGAGAGAGAGAGAGTATATTAGAAAGTGTGTTCAGCCTTTTTTGCGTGGTTTACAACGGGAAAATGGGGTGCTATTTATAGCAGCAATAAATGCCAGACAGGGACACGTGTCAAGCATCCATTGGCCGAGGGGGTCACCTCAACTGGTTGACGCTGGCAATCGCATGTGGCCGCATTTAATGCGGCTGTCGGATGTGACGTCGTATATGGTACGGTGATCCATACGCATGTGGAACGGATATCATGTCGGAAAAGGTGCCCTCAGCTGTAGATGACTAGCCGAGGGCTCTGAGTACCGGGGACCCCCTTAGTGCCGAGGGCTACTGGTTTTCGCCGTTTTCTCCCAGTAACTTTGTTTTCCTGATTTGGCCCTTCTGTGAGAATCAGAGCCTTCGGTCAGGGGGCCGAAGGCACCCCTGGTGCGCATAGTGGGCTGCTTGGTACTATGGGCGCCGTGACTTGGGCCTGTTGTGCTTCGTGGGCCTATTGGGCCTTTATTGGAGTAGTAGGAGTCTGTGGGCCGGGGGTTCCCGGGCCATATACTCCATCAGCTACATCAAAGGAGACAGAATGAAACACATATCACTAAAGTTCTTCTCTACTCATGATCTGGAGAAAGAAGGAACGATCAACATTCAACAAATCAGATCCAGTGAAAATCCGGCTGATCTCTTCACCAAGTCATTGCCCCCGAAGAAGTTCATAGAACTTGTACAGAAAATCGGCACGCGTCGCCTTCATAATTTATGCTAAATTCACGGGGAGTATTTGAATGCACTGCACTCTTTTTTCCTTCATCAGGTTTTTATCCCACTAGGTTTTTCCTGATAAGGTTTTTAACGAGACAGTACATCCAAATACAACGACATTATAATTAAGTCGTAATCTTTACCCCTTAATTTTCACAATAAATTTTTAAAATAATAAATACCTATTCAAGGATGAACATTCAAGGGGGAGTGTTGTAAAACCATCAAAACGACATGTGTGAATGTCCATCCTTGTAATCAGGACACTAAGCAAACACAAATCCTTGTAATCCTTGTAATCACACACATGACTAGATTATATACTGACAACAAATTATGTAGAATAATTCCTAGATGATTCATCCCTAAGCTTGACTAGTATAAATAGGGCTTGTTTCATTCATTGTAATCTAACTTAGAAATTTAGAAAATATTCAGATATTAAGAAAAAATAATTTAGAGGTTTTATATCTATTTCTATTTCATAAATTTGCCCTTCATCTTCTTCCTTTCACTAATATGCCCTATGTTTTACTCCTCGGAATTTGTGTCATCAATTTTTTCTCTAATTCAGCATTCAGCATTTCACGAACAAAACAGCGTCGCCATGGCATCAATCGCGGCCAGTGCAAATCTGCTGGGTCGTTTAGGCATCACGGCTTTACTGTCTCCCCATTCCTCTGTAACTTACACCACTCGGGTTCTACTTAGCCCGCTTCACATACATTGCTCCCGGACCCGCTCCTCTCTCAGCCCCGCTTTTCTTACCTTTTCATCTCATCCCTGCTTGAAAATATTGGGCCCTTTTGAGTTCGGTTCGAATTCCCCCCCGGTCTCAGCTATTTCTAACGGCAGCTCAAACGCTGGAAGTGGGCATGGTGGCTCCGGCGACTGCAGTACCGGAGGAGGATGCTGTAGCAGTGGCGATGGCGGTGGGAGTGAGAGCACGTGGTCATTTCTCACTTGGTATTTCTCTCTTAGTATATCATCAATTACTGTATTTCGAATGACTAACTCATAAAAATTGTAATCATCAATTTAGGCTGTGCCTGGTAATTTCAAGGAATGTGAATTAATTAATTTGTTTTGGCTGTACTTTCTCACATATTTTAGTATCATTGTTCTGTTAAATACCTTACATCCTTGACTCAGATGGTTTCTAACCTGTGACGTCCTCCTTGATAGTGTTTCCATCTAACCACACAATGATGCCATCGAACCGTGCTTGGTGAGGAATGTCAATTAATTTAATAATTCCCTCCGAGCTCCGTCTCACCTTGAGCTTTTTAGATGTCCCAAGCTTACAAAATAATCATCAAAATGATCAAATATTAAAAATTTAAAACAACACACATATAACATCTCAATTATCGTCAATTACCTCATTATGTTATATACTCACCAAAAGTATTTCTCAAAACATACGCGAATTACCTTATTTAATTATTTTCTAAATAATCGTACCATTTTTCAATGAGAAGCTTAACCCAGGATGAAGGTAGTACTTACCAACCACAATGATTCCTTTCATTACCATTCCTCATTCCACAGCCCTCCCTACCGAGGTAAAGCTAAACATTCTAACTATGATAACGGTTTGTTTTGCTTCCTAATGTAAAACCCAAATTAATCATAAAAAATTATTGCTTCATGGGGATCTTGGGAGAAGTGAACCTGCTTTATGAAGTTAAATTTGATTAAAATGGATCAATGAGCTTAAACTTGATTATGTTTTGTTTCAATATTCTTATTTGTATGACGTTAAAATTGTAATAAGCAAACTATTAAAATCTGCATGAAGGTTGTTATTGATAGAAAATTTGGCTTATTAAAATTATGAGGTTGATAAGGCAAGTGAGGCACTTCATTAAGTTGATTATATAATATGTCAATGCTCTTGTAGTCATGGTCTCTTTAACTAATTTTATGAAGGAAAGGAAGCTTTCATTTTACAGAGAGTGATACAATAGTCTGATACAAGTATACAACCAAAAGAAGAAGACAAGTCTCTCTATATAATACAAAGAAACAGGAAATAGAAAATAGTTGAGTCAATTAGTTGAGTTGATGATAAGTTCTTGTGTATTCTATCACTAATCCGAGCTCACAGAAATATCAAGAAGAAAGAAAGATCAACTATGAATGTTTATTCGAATTCAGGAAGAGAAAGCAGACAGTTACAGGTCGTTACAGAGAGTCTATTCCCAAGTCCCAACTACCAGATAGTTCCAACCTGGCTAACTAATCATAAAGACATCTATTTATAATATCCCAGCCGACTCCCAATTACAATGGATCCCTTATTTATTATTTCCCTTCCCTTTTGTAGTGTAGACTTTCTCATAAAAAGTAATGTCATTCTTCAAATTAGACTGATGCTTCCCCAGACTCTTATCATCACTCCCCGCCTGAATTACCACCTTGTCCTCAAGGTGGAAATCAGGGAACTGATCTTGAAACTTTTGCAGTCCTTCCCAGGAATCTTCAAAATCTGCGAGATGTTTCCAGTGCACCAAAATCTCTGGTTGCCCTTCTGCATTGACCCTACTGTCCACCACTTTTTCTGGATATACCCGTAGTTTCCAGTCCTCAGTGATACATTTTGGCAGGGGTTGGAAAGGAGTGTTGGGAGCCAAACTTTTCTTCAGTAAAGATGAATGAAATACAGGATGAATAACACACCCTTCTGGCAACTTTAACTTGTATGTTACTGGATTAGTTTTGTCAATCACCTCTAATGGTCCATAATATCTAGGACTGAGCTTCTGATTAATCCTTTTAGCCAAACTTTTCAACTTGTAGGGTTGGATTTTGAGATATACCCAGTCTCCAATATCGAATTGAACTTCTCTTCTCTTTTTGTCAGCTTGTTGTTTCATTCTGTTCTGGGCAGTAGCTAATGTACTCCTTAACTCCTCAATCATGCTATTTCTTTCAGCTCTAAGCCTGGTTACTTCATCATTAGCAGTCAAAGTAGCATCTCCCTTGATCAACACTGGAGGTTCCTGTCCATAAAGAGCCTTATAAGAGTGTTTTTTAGTGACACATGATAGTTGGTATTATACCAAAATTCTGCCAACACTCAGGTTTAGTGCCTGTCATACACCTAAGGTAGGTTTCTACACATCTGTTAACCACTTCGGTTTGCCCATCAGTTTGGGGTGGTATGCAGTACTATTTTTCAATTTTGTTCCAGCCATCTTGAATAGTTCTGTCCAAAAACAACTCAGGAACACACTGTCTCTATCTGACACAATGGTCTTGGAAAACCATGTAGTCTAACAACTTCCTGAATGAAAACTTCTGCTACTCCTTTGGCATTATAAGGGTGTGACAATGCTATAAAATGCGCAAATTTAGTCAACCTATCAACCACCACAAAGATAGTATCTTTTCCAAAAGCTTTAGGAAGTCCCCCAATAAAATCCATACTGATGTCAGTCCATATTGGTGAAGGAATAGGTAGAGGTTGGAGTAATCCTGCCGGATTCAGTGTTTGATATTTATTTCTCTGGCATACATCACACTGTTGCACATAGTTCCTTATGTCAGCTCTCATCCCAGCCCAAAAGAATAAGGAAGAAATCCTCTTCATGGTCTTAAAATTCCCCGCATGCCCACCTACGGCAGATCCATGGAATTCTTTGATAATGGTTGGTATCCTAGTAGAATTTCTAGGAATCACCAATCTTTCTTTGTAGTATAAAAGACCTTTTCTGATTTTAAAATCAGCTATAGAATCAGGTTGCCCCAGAGTTGTTGTAGAATGCCTTTATACTTGTCATCTTCCGGTAGTTCTGTCTCAAACCCCTCTCACTCTTGACAGGTGACTACTGATAAAGAATAGCAAGCCCCTTTTCTAGAAAGTGCATCTGCTGCCTTATTTTCTATTCCTGATTTGTATTTGATTATGAAGTTGTATCCCAACAGTTTGGTTACCCATTTCTGTTGGTCCTCTCCCAATTTTTGTTTGTTTTGTCAGAGATCTCAGACTTTTCTGATCTCTATGCACTTCAAACCTTCTGCCCAACAAGTAATGTCTCCACTTTTGGATAACTAGAACAATTGCCACGAGTTCTCTTTCGTATACAAACTTGTTCTGATTTCTTGGAGATAAACTTTTACTCATGAAAGCTACAGGTTTCCCTTCATGCATCAGAACAGCTCCTACTCCTTTACCAGATGCATCTGCTTCCACCACAAAGATCTTGTTAAAATTTCAGATGTTTGGTTGTGAAATTGTTAGCAGACTCCCTTGTTAACTGCTGCTACAATTTCAGATGTTTGGTTATTCTCATTAAATGGTATTCCTCCCACTTTATTTTGTTGTTCGTGTTGAAGAATTTTTTCATTTTCATTTTCATTTACCCCAGTGCTGCAAAGGCTCCCACCTACGGTGGGGTAAGGGGGGGGGGTCGGATGTACGCAGTCTTACCCCTATACTAAAGCACAAAGAGATTGTTTCCGGATGACCCATAGTGAAAATCGCGTCCAAAATTGCATGGACTGACTGCTGCTTCATTACAAAGAAGCGCAGACAGTTTAGTGAGCCATTTTGCTTTATTCCATCACAATCTCAAGCCAAAAAATAATGAATCTTTGGCTCCATTGCAAATGATGGAAATTTCGTGTTGAAGAATCTTCCCTAAAATTTTGTCAATGTGTGGCAAGTCCTTTTTCATCATAACCTGTGATCTAGCATTAGCAAACTCATCATTTAAGAAATCTAGCAGCATAATCATCCTCAAAATATTTCATAATCATTTTGGACATACCACAAGCACATTTAGGATTACAAGTGCACTCTGGAATAGGTTTCAGAATCATTATCTCAGTCCAAATAGAGAGAAGTTTTGCATGAAAATCACTGATATCAGAAGTACCTTGTCGGATTGAATAAAATTCCTTGAACAATTCGGAAATGCGGAAGGGGTTTCCATGAGAATACATCTTTCTCAAAACGTTCCAGACTTCTGCAGCATTGTCGATCCAGATAATGCTTGATGCAATTGAAGGTGAGAGTCGTGAGACTGAATTGACGATCCAGGAGCAGACCATCGTGTTGCACCTTTCCCATGCCATATGTGCTTCAATGTCTTTCTCTGGTTCTGCGACGCTTCCGTCAGCCATTCACATAGATCTAGACCAGGTTTGATAGTTGAGTCCATTAAGATGCGGTTTAACCAACACCGCATTCAGATTTTCGTTGATGTGAAGGAAATATGGATTGCTATATTCGTTGTTGATCGGAATCCTGGAAGAAGAAGTATTTTCGTCGCTTCTATTTGTGGAAGTAACCACAGAGACGTAGCTATGACGATTAGGGTTCATTTCTTCGCTCTGATACCATAACAGATTTTATGAAGGAAAGGAAGCTTTCATTTTACAGAGAGAGAGAGATACAATAGTCTGTTACAACCAAAAGAAGAAGACAAGTCTATATAATACAAAGAAACGGGAAACAGAAAATAGTTGAGTCAATTAGTTGAGTTGACTTTTATTTTGTTGATGCCTGAGTGTGCTGGCTGTATTACTCTGATTAAGCAAAGCATATGCCAGGTACCTACAGAGTGCTCTTTGCTTTGATTGAAGTAATGATCTTGCTGCCTTCGTCTTAGTGACGTTGTTAAGATAAATCAATTGCTAGAATGAATTAAAATTAGTTTTAATTATTGGTTATTTAGAGTAAAAACACATATATGTGCAACACTGATATTATTATCTCTTTGGCAGGTACTTATCTCTTCTTGAGAAGTACCCTGTGTGGACAAAAGCTATCTCATCTGCATTATTGAATTGTATTGGAGATTTTATTTGCCAGGTAAATATTTGATCACATTAGCTACATAAATAAGCAATGCATGTTTTATTTTTTGTGGAGCAATCTTAAAATCAGAATTGTTTTTTTCATGCTTAGTGCCCTTAATATGTAGTCTTCATATTAGAATAACACATGCCTTTCGTTTCTGTTAACATATGACCTTAGTGTGGGCGCGCACACGCTTTGTGTGTGTGCCTTATTTTATGTACAGCTTCCTATTCTTTTCAGCTTTGGACAGATCACTATGCGAGTGCGCACACACACGTGCTCGCTGTGTGTACTTTATCTTATGTGCAGCTTCCCATTCTTCTCAGTTTTTGACAGATCACAAGCAATCTTTTGATGGAATGAGGACATTTCGCTTCACCTTTTTGGGTCTGGTCCTGGTCGGCCCATCTTTGCACATTTGGTAATAGTTTCTGTTTATACTAGTGAATCTGTGTGTGGTGCTCATATAATTATTTAACTTTATGTTGAAGGCTGTCATATAACTTTCTTAAGCTTATGTAAGAATTGCACAGTATGGCCAATGACATATTTTGAAACTATTTTATCCTATCTGCCTTTTAAGTGCTTCCAAGTTTACTATTACAACCCTACACCGCTCATGTGTATCTGAGACTGGGGTATACGCGTTCCTGATTCATAGATGGTTCTCATGGGCCCGTGGCGCCACATTGGCAAAATATGAGATTTGTAGATTACCATAGGAATGGACGGTCTCAATTTCAATTGCATGGTGCATCTGCATCCGGATCTACTGAGAAAATGACTGCTCCCCTGACCTACTTTTTCCGTGCATCTCTATTTTTCGGTGCTTAATTTGATTATTTCTAACTTCTAAGCATTGTTTATAGCGAACATGTTTCGGTTTACTTAATTGTACAGGTACCTGTACTTAAGCAGATTGGTTACAACAGCTGGAGCATCTGGGGCTTTCTTGCGCCTTTTACTTGATCAGGTCTTCTTAGAATGGGTTAATGGTTTTCTAGCTACAGTGCTCTTTGTTGATGGTTACTATTAATAATATGGTCAATGAGCTTCTGCAGTTAATCTTTGCTCCATTTTTTATTGGAGTTTTCTTATCTACACTGGCAACACTTGAGGGACAGCCATCACATGTCATTCCAAAGCTTCAACAGGTACTTTTTGTCGTGACTACTTTCTTCTCACTGTAATTTATGTTTTTCAAAGCAAACAAAAAACAGAAGTTTGGGACCGTTTGGAAACGTTTATTTGGCTGATTTTTTTAAAGTATAAGTCTTTGGTAACATCCGTTTCAGTCAACTAAGTAGGTCAGGAAATTCACCAGAATTTGCCATTTCAGTCAATAAGAAATTTGATCAGAAAATTCACCAGGTTTTGCCATTTCAGTCAAATAAGCCACGTATCCTTATTTTTCTGATGAGTCAGATAATGCTACCAAACAGAGCCTTATTTCGATTTATGTGCAATACATGATTGTTGAAAACTTGGCCAGTCTTTAATCTCGGTCATGTAGTATTTGTGTCTCGTGTTCAACCTTTTTACTTTCAGGTGTGGTCTTCTGCTGTTCTTGCAAACTGGCAACTCTGGATACCCTTCCAGTTCTTCAACTTCCGCTTTGTCCCTCAGCAGTTTCAGGTCAACGCTGAAAACTGATTTACATTACTGCACCCCTTCCCACCCCTCCCTCATTAAACCATCTCCCACACAAATAAAGAGAAAAAACATAAGTTTTTAGACTTTCCTTTCCCAACCCTCCGAGTCGTTCAACTGGTTTGAATCCAGGGGAAAAAGTTCACCCCCCTGGAGGACCACTGGAGGAGCCCGGATTTTAACTTCAGGACCCGCAGATTTATTCAAGTAAAAGCTCCCCATTAGAGGCCAAATATTTTCTTTCAACGCTATGAGTATTATCTTTATAAATTTGCTATGTTTGACTACTTTGCATGCCAGCATCCTTGCATCCAACGTTAATATATTGCAGGTTCTAGCTGCCAACTTTATTTCTCTAATATGGAATATGATTCTCTCATATAAAGCTCACAATGATATTGTTGTCAAATAACCAGGTAAGTCTATCAACATAATGAACTATATTTGTATTGAGGCTATTTTCCTATGAAAATATTGTCTGGGTTTATGAATTATGGATAGGATTATTTATCTATTTGGTGACACTTTGATACTGTAGTAATATTTTTAGTAACATTTGTAATGTTTTCGAGCTTCTTAATTTTAAAGGCTGTGACAATTGTATTGCTAAAAGTATTTGGCTGAAATGGCTGAATCAATTGAATCTTCTTGGATTTTTTCTTTCATAAAATCCTTTTCAGGCTTTCAGCCACATGCAGAGCAAGTCTCTTACAAGTAAAATAAGCAAAATAACTGAAATCATGCTACCAAATGGGCTGGTAATAATAGTAATTTCATTTTCTGAAGTGCAGGACATGAGTGAAGCATGAAGATATATGCTGCTCATGAGTCATACAGGCCAAAGTTATCATGCACTGAAAAATGTAGGCACAATGTATCAGAAAGTTTCTGATTTCTTAACTTCGTGAAAGGTTAAATTACCACAGAAACGTATTGGCGGTCCACAATTTCCAAGCAGTTTAGTAAAAAACTTAAAAGTTTATTTATGGTTTCCATTATTTAGGCGGTGGTTAAATATAGGTTATGCCGGTGATTGCTCACGTCGCTAGTCATGTGGCATCAGTTTGTTCCATTTTTGGTGAATGCCTTTGCAGACCTGAGTTGTCTTCCTTGACAAACAACTTTTTTTGTCCACTTGAACTCCTCAAGCCTCTTTTTTCCCTGCCATTGTATTGCTGGCATAGTGGCATCTTCTTCATTTTCATTGGGTGCCAAATTCATCGTCGGCAGATTTATTTATTGTAGAAAGGATAGGATTTGAGCCATGGTGGGAGGTCCTGGGGCTAAAGGAAAGGATTTGAGCCATGGAGGGAGGTGCTAGGGCTTGGGCGTCTCTCTGATTCTTACCATGGGCCCTAAACTCGCCTTCATAGGTAGCCTTTGCACTCTCATGCGGTGGCTGGGCTTGGAGTTAAGGGGCTGTGACTCCTGTGAGTAGGTCAAGTGGAGGAAAAAGGTAAAGGGGGAGAGAAGGAGAAAAGAAACAAAAGAAAAAAAGGAGGGGGGGTGGGGGGGGGTGGGGGGTGGGGAGGATTTTATGTGAATACCTTGAAAAGAAAAAATTACAAGAATAATATTTTGAACTTTTCCTTACACAAAAATACGACGAATTTTAAAATTGGACAAAAAAAACAATTATTAAGGAATGGATCCAAATACCCTTAACCCTATCTAGGGATGGATTCGGGCCGGGTCGGGCCCGGTCAGGCCGCCGGTTCGTATCAGATGGGCCCGGGACTGGCCCGAGGGTTGGACGGGTCCGGTTCGGGCCGGGCCACCCGCCCGGGTCATGGGTCGGGCCACCCGCCGGGCCGGGCCGGGCCGGTTAAATATTTTTTTTTAATTTATATTTTATACTTTATAGTTTTATACAATTATTAAAAAACAAACTTCAAGTGCATTTATTTGAAATGAAATAGGAACTACATTTGAAAATTAAATAGGAACTATAATTGTTTTTAATCGGAATCTTCGGCATAGGTAGAGCCACCCTCTGTAGATTCATCCATAAAGTGTTGGGATGGAGTGATATCAATTTCTTGAGCTCTACGTGCTGCTTTCAACCAATCGTGGTAGCATATAAGCATCTCAAGAGATTCAGCGTTTAACCTCGTTCTGGTTTGTGTTAGAACATTGACGGCTGAACTAAATTCTTGTTCCACGGTAACCGTTGAAACCGGCATTGATAGCACTTGCTTAGCCATCTTTGCTAAAACCGGGAACATTCTTTCTTTTCCCTTCCACCAGTTTAGTACGTCAAAATCATCATCTTCTTCAAAATCAACATCATAAGTTAAATACAAAGAAATCTCATTAATTGTGCTTTGTTGTGTAGCGGGAGTTGATTTTGTTTTTTAATAAGATTGTCAAACGTAGATTTGAAAATTGATTTTCCTTTAGATGATGTTTGTGTCGGGGGAGGGGGCGCATTGCCATATTGTGCATGAAACTCATTGAATAATGCATAAAATATATCACTAATCTCGTTGTATTCTTTTTTCGGATCAATTGGGTTGTCCTCATACATTGACAATGGACCAAAAAAAGCAGCATAATAATAATTCAAACATTCTTCTAAAGAACCAAGTCTAAAACGAGGATCGAGAACAAATGCAATACCATAAATATGCGGAATATGTGAATAATATTTTAAAAACTTTTCCTTCATAAAACCAGCAAAATAACTCACATAATCAGCATTCTCAAAATTTGAAAAAGCACCGGCGAGATTAACAGCTTCACGAATAAATTGGTTTGAGGTAGGTTTATAAACATGACTAAAAGTTTCAGTTGCATTATTAAAATATATCAAAGCATTACAAATTTTTTCACAGGTGTCGATCTCAGCCGAGTTTATAATATAGTTATCATATTGTTTCATAAAAGCAGGAAAATGTTGTTTATATATAAGAAGAACTCCAATTAACTTATAGATACTATTCCAACGAATAGACAAATCTTTTGGAAAAGCCACATATCTCTCACCTCTTTCTATCAAATAATCATGCCATTTTTTCCTAAGGTGTCCATTACCCCAAATACGTCTAATCCCCCCCTTGACTACCTCCAACGATGCTCCCAACGCTTTTAGACCATCTTGCACACATAAATTTAGAACATGACATGCACATCGTTGATGAAAAAATCTACCCATCAAAGAAGTAGAACCACACAATTCACACAATCTAGGAATAACATCAGTATTATTAGTAGCATTATCAAAACCAATAGCAAACACCTTATCAATTAAATTATACTCAATTAAAATACGTTCAATCAAAATATAAATATGTTCAGCGGTGTGACGATCATTAAATTCACGGAAAGCAAGAACACGTTTATGCATATGCCAATCATTATCAATATAATGTACAGTCAGACCCAAATAATGTAAATTATGATAAGTATCCTCCCATATGTCAGAACATACAGTAACACGTCCATCAAAGTTTGCAAAATAATTTTGCAACCTTACCTTTTCCGCACCATAAAGCCTTGAAATTTCTTTCTTAACCGTTTTGCGACTATAACCTCTATATTGCGGATTTAAACAAGTTTGTGCATAATCACGAAAAGCAAGACTTTCAGAAAACAAATAAGGCAAATTTTCTTCAACAAGTCAGTTAGCCATACCTGTCAAATTTTGTGCATCATTGTATGAGAAATTACCAAAAGCTTGTTGGTTATTTGCAAACCTCGATATTTGCGTTTGCTTCCCCGTTCCGCCGCCTAATTTTGCATACTCCACTGGGTGTTTGGACTTAAGGTGTCTTGTGGCGGATCCGTATCCGCCGGAAATCCCCAAGCTATAGTTTTTCTTGCACCAATTGCAAGTTGCGGTCCAATTCCCGGTGTTCGGGTCCTTCCACTTAGAAAAATTATTAGCCATTAATTCAGATTTACTTTTTTTTGTACCTGTTTGGGATGAGGCTACTTGGTCGGCGTCATGGCTGCCGCCACCCTCCTCCTCCTCCTCGTCGTGGCTCTCCGGAATTGCTTCCTCCACATCGTCGTCCTCGTCCTCGAGCTCTTCTTCGTCAATGGTCCTCGGTTGGTCTTGAAAAAAGCGGGAATTATGTCGGTGCAATTCTTGTTCTAGTTGTTCGTCGGTCATCGCATCCCCATCCCTCCATACGTAACCCGTATCAAAATCATCTTGACTTTGAGATGAAGAGCCGATATGTGATTTACCTTTGCGGGATCTCTTCCTCGCAAGCTCTTTCGTTCGGTTGCGCTCGAGGTTATCCATATCAATCGAATATCTAGGACGATCCATCTAAAAAATGTAGCGATTAATAAAAAATTGTAAAAAACTAATTTACTATTTATCTAACTACTAATTCGAGTTATAGCAAATTAAGTAGTGAATTAACTAGTTTTGTGTACAACATATTTTTTAAACTAGAGTCAAATGTAGCCATTAATAAAAAATTGTAAAAAACTAATTAACTATTTTTCTAACTATTAATTCGAGTTATAGCAAATTAAGTAGTGAATTAACTAGTTTTGTGTACAACATATTTTTTAAACTAGAGTCAAATGTAGCAATTAATAAAAAATTGTAAAAAACTAATTAACTATTTATCTAACTATTAATTCGAGTTATAGCAAATTAAGTAGTGAATTAACTAGTTTTGTGTACAACATATTTTTTAAACTAGAGTCAAATGTAGCAATTAATAAAAAATTGTAAAAAACTAATTAACTATTTATCTAACTATTAATTCGAGTTATAGCAAATTAAGTAGTGAATTAACTAGTTTTGTGTACAACATATTTTTTAAACTAGAGTCAAATGTAGCCATTAATAAAAAATTGTAAAAAACTAATTAACTATTTATCTAACTATTAATTCGAGTTATAGCAAATTAAGTAGTGAATTAACTAGTTTTGTGTATAACATATTTTTTAAACTAGAGTCAAATGTAGCCATTAATAAAAAATTGTAAAAAACTAATTAACTATTTATCTAACTATTAATTCGAGTTATAGCAAATTAAGTAGTGAATTAACTAGTTTTGTGTACAACATATTTTTTAAACTAGAGTCAAATGTAGCCATTAATAAAAAATTGTAAAAAACTAATTAACTATTTATCTAACTATTAATTCGAGTTATAGCAAATTAAGTAGTGAATTAACTAGTTTTGTGTACAACATATTTTTTAAACTAGAGTCAAATGTAGCAATTAATAAAAAATTGTAAAAAACTAATTAACTATTTATCTAACTATTAATTCGAGTTATAGCAAATTAAGTAGTGAATTAACTAGTTTTGTGTACAACATATTTTTTAAACTAGAGTCAAATGTAGCCATTAATAAAAAATTGTAAAAAACTAATTAACTATTTATCTAACTATTAATTCGAGTTTTAGCAAATTAAGTAGTGAATTAACTAGTTTTGTGTACAACATATTTTTTAAACTAGAGTCAAATGTAGCAATTAATAAAAAATTGTAAAAAACTAATTAACTATTTATCTAACTATTAATTCGAGTTATAGCAAATTAAGTAGTGAATTAACTAGTTTTGTGTACAACATATTTTTTAAACTAGAGTCAAATGTAGCCATTAATAAAAAATTGTAAAAAACTAATTAACTATTTATCTAACTATTAATTCGAGTTATAGCAAATTAAGTAGTGAATTAACTAGTTTTGTGTACAACATATTTTTTAAACTAGAGTCAAATGTAGCAATTAATAAAAAATTGTAAAAAACTAATTAACTATTTATCTAACTATTAATTCGAGTTATAGCAAATTAAGTAGTGAATTAACTAGTTTTGTGTACAACATATTTTTTAAACTAGATTCAAATGTAGCAATTAATAAAAAATTGTAAAAAACTAATTAACTATTTATCTAACTATTAATTCGAGTTATAGCAAATTAAGTAGTGAATTAACTAGTTTTGTGTACAACATATTTTTTAAACTAGAGTCAAATGTAGCCATTAATAAAAAATTGTAAAAAACTAATTAACTATTTATCTAACTATTAATTCGAGTTATAGCAAATTAAGTAGTGAATTAACTAGTTTTGTGTACAACATATTTTTTAAACTAGAGTCAAATGTAGCAATTAATAAAAAATTGTAAAAAACTAATTAACTATTTATCTAACTATTAATTCGAGTTATAGCAAATTAAGTAGTGAATTAACTAGTTTTGTGTACAAC